TGTGTCATTTTCCATTGAGATGTTTACATTTTGGCATGATCCTGACTTGTCTATTTAATTATCATTGTTAGATTCAAGAAGAAAGAACGCACAGAGAGCGCAGGTTCAGGTATGTTTTTAACTCTTATACTGTGTCATTCCCAACAGAACTGAATGCCTTGTCAGTAAACATGGTACATTAAAATCATATGAAAATGTTAATAATAAATTAATGAACAATTAATTTTAAAAAAGTGAATGAAAATGGAAAGAAATTGAAATGTTACAAGGTCCAAGGTTATGTAGAGATGTAAATACAATATATATATTTTATTTCCAGAGCATACATTGTTATATTAACTTTGATTAAACTATCAGAGATATCACTTCTGCCTCATCTTCTAACAGCTTCAGCTTAAAGGTCCCAGACAGAAATCTCATTCACAAACCAATGAATGACAGAAAAATGTACAGAGTAAATATATTCTATAGTGCTAAGAGTGTCGTAAGGGCTGTAAGAGTAGTTATTAATAACATGCACACATTATAATAAATGTCAATATAATCGAAATCAGTAACTCATTATATTGACCATGTATACAGTATACAGTTCTGAAGGGTGATGAATGTCTGTGCACAGTACTCAGAAGAAACACTGCTGTGTTTCATGACCACACATCCGGCTGAACATTAGCACCTGAACAGTCTGCTCTGCATGTATCAGATGGTGATCTTTATCCTGCATGAGAGATGACTGCTTTAGCCAGGTTGTATATGCTAGACTAGCCAATATTTTATAAAGATTTTCAATATCATAGCTCAAAAATTACTCACAGATTAGAAAAGATCAAATTAATCTTCAATCAAACTTGCATTAGTAAAGATACTAAAATCTTTTTTTTTTGGTTATGGTTTAAATAGAAAAGTCAAAAACTAAAAGTTGGAATACACTTCATGACTTTGCCCCGTCAGCAGTTGGATTTGACCAAGTTGGATTTAGCAGAAAACTGCAGCACATAAATATATGAACTCTGATTAGACTTGAGATATGACTTCTGCCTCATCTTCTACCAGCTTCAGCTTAAAGGTCCCAGGCAACAATCCTGTTTACAAACCAATGAATGTCAAAATAAATTTACAGAATAAATATGAGTAGTTATTAATAACACACACACAAATTATGATAAATGTCAAAATAATCGAAATCTGTCGAAACTCATTATACTGACCATGGTGGAAGATCCCTTAAAACCCTCAAGCCTTTGGTTTTGACCGAGAGATTGAGTCTACTCATACTCATATCTACATTTCCAGCAGAATAGTTAGTAGTTAACTTACCAGATAGAGTTAAACAATATGAAGTGGCTTGAACAGAACATAGTTTTTAATAGTATTTTATTGTCTATTTTTTAAAATTGCAATTGAGTAAATTCCTTCTGTCATTTTGATTCAAATTCCAGCTCATAAATTGTAAAGAGCCAATTCCTAAATTTTGAACTCTAACAATCGTCTTCTTGTGTTTATAGTATACAGATCTTCTGAAGCGTGATGAGTATGTCTGTGTGCAGTACTCTGTGTGCAGTACACTGTGACCCTATCATGACCACACATCCGGCTGAACATTAGCAGCTGAACAGTCTGCACTGCATGTGTTAGGTGGGGGTGATGATACTTTATCCTGCATGAGAGATAACTGCTTTAGCCAGGTTGTATATGCATCTCTGTATTGCTTCACACCAACACCAGTGTCCCCTTTGACCTGAAGCTTTATGTAGTTTTGCAACAATATATACTTTTCTTGTAGTTGATCATCCATTGATATTTTTGAAAAATGTACAATAAAGGTTTTTCAAAGGTTTATATTTAAGAGGGACTCATTTTCCATATTGCTTGGAGCTTGATCACATCTATTATGAGTTCAGACAAACGAAAACACATAAAAAATTACATGTAATGACTGTTGCATTTGATATTCTCCAGACATTCTATATACCAGGACAATTAATTATGAAATGTAATGACATTCCGCATAATGATGTTTCACTTTGGCTTGATTCACCCTAACTATAACCTAACACTTGATAAAAACCAGTAGATGGAGCCATGCTTCTAAATGCTGATCTAGTCTACCAAGAATAACCACTTGCCCAGAATTTGATTATAAATGCATTGTAACTTTAAATAAATACAGTTATGTTTAGTTTTTGTCCATGTTTCTGAGCACTTTATAAGATAAGCCTTAGGGGAACATATAGTGAAGTGACTTTGTGTGAATGTACTTAAATGGTTACAATTGTATCACCACATCCTTTTGTATTGATTGCAAAGCTATAGCCAATATTTTATTAAGACTTTGAATATCATGGCTCAAACATTACTCACAGATTAGATCTAATTAAATTAATTCTTATGCACATTATGACTTACATTAATAAAAAATGCTTATATATAATAGTAACAGCCAGCCTTATCAAGTTTTTCTAAATGTATCTGCTCATGGTTTAGATGTGAAAGTCAAAAACTAGAAGTTGGAATACATTATACAACTTTTGCCCAAATTTCCAGTCTGACCGAGTTGGATTTAGCAGAAAATTGTGTAGTATATTATGGGCACAGACCATGATTTTTAGTTTCCGATTATGGTTATATCCAGTTTGATGTTTGATGCAAACATGTTTGATATTTTGCGCATACTATTTTCATTTGTCATCCATTTCCTAGCAATGAGGCATATGTTTCTGTGTGAGTCTCAGTCGTTTAGTGTTGCCCAGTTTCCCTCTGAAACCCTTTACACATGCTGGTAAGTGTATGATGCATAGCGTTTAAAAATCTGTTCAGGTTTCTAAACATTGTGCAGTGTATTTTGACCTTAAACCTGGCATTTGTCAGACTGGAGGAGGCCGGCGGAGTCACAAGGCTAAAACAAATGCATATCAAATAAGTGTCAAATGAAGCTAAACAGAATATGGGCTGTTAGTCACACAGCCACACGCAATCTTCTTAGCCTCTGTTATCACATGAACAAACTGCTGACTGTTTTCACAACCGAACAAAGCAGTTGTATCAGCCATCTGACACGAGAACAGGTTTAGATCTATTAATCTGGAATTCTTCAGTGCAAAATGAGTTAGATTTGGCAAGTGCTGAAACACATTTTTCCTGGAACACAGATACAAAAATGTTCTTGTCAATGTTATTGTCAGAATGTATGAAGCACTGTGAGGAACCGAAATAATGTGTTCATTAAACTGACATCACATTTACATTTAAGCATTCAGAGACTTTCATGTGAAGCAAGGACAAAAGAAAAATAAGTTTCCCTATCAGTACATTTAAGTAATCCCACATGTATCAAGAATGCGGGAAACGGAATATTCCATAAATAAAAGAACGGCATGTACTGGACTTCATTTTTTTTCTATCATGTCTTTGCCAGCAAATTTGCATCACATTAAACGGGTTCTGCATGTGATGAAATGCTGTTTTTTTTAAATATATTTTAAAAATTAATACTGTGACACCTATTCATTTTTCTTTGCCGTTAACAATTCAGTCATTCAGAGACTTTCATGTGAAGCAAGGACAAAAGAAAAATAAGTTTCCCTATCAGTACATTTAAGTAATCCCACATGTATCAAGAATGCGGGAAACGGAATATTCCATAAATAAAAGAACGGCATGTACTGGACTTCATTTTTTTTCTATCATGTCTTTGCCAGCAAATTTGCATCACATTAAACGGGTTCTGCATGTGATGAAATGCTCTTTTTTTTAAAATATATTTTTAAAATTAATACTGTGACACCTATTCATTTTTCTTTGCCGTTAACAATTCAGTAAAAAAAGCAGCAATAAACCATTGGAATAAACTTCTACATGACAAAGCGCATGTTGTGCAACCCATACCATGTCATTTAATTAAACAGAATTTGATATATTTCATAATAGATTCAATAAAATCAAAGCACGGACACCTTTGCTTATTGGTGCAGAAATGCACTCTATACTTGTATACAAGTCAATATCATTTACAATTTCCAGCTTGAAGCACACAATAAATACAGCATCCATGCATTTGTCACGGGTGCGCACACACACGAGGGACGAGGAGACGCTGGAGAATGATTTACCAAGACTTTATTCGTAGGACGGAACCAAGGGAGACGAACACAGGAAGACCTTCACATGAAGACGTTCAACATCCGACAGAGCACTAGGGACTGGGAACACTTTATATACACACACAGGAGGAGGGGATGACGAGACACACCTGGGAGCAATGGAAATTAAACCTGGGAAACACCTGGGAAGGAATCAACTTAAATTAGGACAGGAACAGGAAACAAACCAAATAAGGGCATGGGAAGGCACATGGGGAGCAGGACACACACGAAACATGGAACAGAGTCTGACAGCATTACACTAGGAAAACACGTTTAATTCATACTTTACTGAATAGAAAGAACTAATTCATTCAAATGTGGCCTATGCTCTCACGTCCTCGGGAATATGACGAATCATTTAACATGCATAGGACAAAAAAAACTTTGACTTTTTATCAGTTGTCATCATTACACTGGATTGCACATGTGCATTAATGCAAAGATCAAAGCAACATGATATCCCAGTAATGAAAGCAGCTGATCCACAGTATCAATCAGCATTTAATTCCACACCAGACTGCAGATAATGCATTTCCACTGATATAGTGAACGCTTTGACAAGCTGGTCACGACCTCTTTTCCCAGCATTGCCCTGGGACAGAAGAACTTAAACTAAATTGTTCTAGTTAGTCTCTATATCTCTAGTTCAGTTTGCCTAATCATTAAACATTAAAAAAGAATGAGCTAAAAGATATTTCATGATTTCCTAATAGTATCCAAAGTCTAGAGTGAAAAACAACTGTGTAGTGCTCAGTCTATCTCGCTGGACTTCAAAAGCCTTGAAAGCAAAATCAAGGTTATTAATTATAAAGGAATATATCTGATCATAATATAAGTATCAGAAATCCAAAAACATATGATAGAATGTTTTTTTTTTCTTCAATAGATTTTAATTATTGACTCTGATTTTTAAATAATGGAAGTTTTCTTACACTTTGAGTGAACAGCTAGTTTGTTTGTTTTTCATAGAATTCAAGAAGTTTTGAGATGTTTTATTGTCCTTTTACATTTAGGGCTTCAAATGGGTATTAAAACATACAAATACTAAGTTGAATCTCCCCTCTGCACCAAGATAAAATGCCTTCTGCAACCTTCATGTTAGTGATGGATTCACAAATTCTTCCAAATATAGCATCTTTCTTCATGTAAAGACGTGTCACTGGTTTCTTTGGCTGGAAAAGCAGGGAACACGATGACAGGAAATGTTCATCTTCAGCATATCCGTATTGTAAAGAGAACTGAAGCTTGTCATCTGCCTCAATCAAAATGATTTACTCTGTGAATACAAGACCGAGCACAGATGTAACTGTAACATCAAGTATTTAAACACACAACTTGAATGATTTCTCATATCAGTAGATCAGATCTGAAGAATATGTGTGGAAGGAAGTACAGGTCATCACAGTTTTAAGCAGAAATAGTTCACAGGAAGAGGCTTAGACGCCTACGATTAACTGTCTGTCTCTCTCTCTGCTCGGCCTCTTCTCGGTACCTGATGCTCTTCAGGCTCTGCTCATGTAGAACAACACAAACATACACGAAAAAAAAAAAAGATTCATTTACTGCAGCTCATGCACTCATATGATACAATGACACTTTTTCTGTAATGATGTATTGAGTGGCTTTAGGTAAAGCTGAAAAAAAAAACAATATTTTCTTCTAAATAAGCAGTTTTGTTTTAAAATGACAACATGAAAGAGATAATTTGGTTGCAGTGCATTATGAAAGTCAGAGAAAAGGAAAATATATCACATAAAAAAAAAAAACTCTAGACTCTCATGAATGTATGTCAAGGTCAATTTGACCATTTTATGAAAAAATTTGAATAGGCCACTTAAGAACAGTGAAGCTGCTTATTTCCTCTGAGCTATTCTCACGGTCTATGAGAACAAGGTTGTTACTTATTATGCTTTCAAAACTGTACCTCCTTTTTAGAGCACAAGTTGGAAAATGAACTGGTGTGAATGTTTCATGACAGCTGCCTGAGAGAGCGAAGATGTCAAACTTTGCGTGGCGAGGCTCAAATGGGTTATCTTGATGATGACAGAAATTTGTCTCCCTTTAAATATTTGTGTGATTTTAATGTGACATTTTTCTTGGCTGTTCTGGATTGTTCTCGTTAATCTTTTTGATTGCTTTCTAAATACTCACCATCTTTTTGGAGGATGCACTTCCACAAACAGAAACAGAGGCAGAGGACTAGAAGAAATGCTACAGTAGTCACAGAGATCAGGATAGCGAGCGCAGTGCCAACTGGTGAGAGAAACAGAAGAAAACCATAGATTGGAACACTAATATTAGAGCATCTGTTAGCTTTTCACTTTGGAATGTCTTCTGAATGTTTGACCATTGGATGTTTATTCAACTTTGGGCACTGTTGATGTTATGATTTTTATATATTAAAAAAATAATAATAATTCTTCATGTTATATGGAGGTGTTGGGGTCATATAAATAATTGAATCATATTTGTACCATGCTTGCATCATTTGTTTTTGACATTTTTTGAACACCATAGAATTTTATTCATTTTGATTTCAGTTTAGTTATTTTAGTCAGGTTAAACTAAATTAAAATGAGAAATGGGAATTTTACTTTATTTAATTTTAAGTAATGAGATTTTTTTTATTTTTTTTATGGTTTTAGATTTAGTTTCAGGTAACTATAATAACCCGGGTCCCAAACTCAACCAATTTTAAAATATGTAAATATGAAGAAGACTTTTACTACATTGTAAAAATAAAAAAATATATAAATACAATTATTTACTAACAGAATTCTAAACAAGAAAATACACTGTATTGTGCATCATTTCCAATCAATTTAGTCAAATTGTAAAAGTATTACAATATTATTTACTAGTTTTGTGTATTTAAGATACAGTGCGTGCTAACTATGACATTAGCCTTAACAAGACAAAGTCTGCCAGTTTATTCAAAAAACACTGAGGATTTTGAGATAGTGGAAAATGACTCCATTCTCCAGTGATTCATGCTTGTCTACTGGACAAATAAACTAGCATGTGAAGAAAGTGTGAAAAGTTCACCCTCCAACTGGGTTTATTTTCTAATATTCCACTGGGCCAAAGTGGCCCATAGTTGAAGAAACACTGTTACTGCTATGGCAACAATTTCTCTAGATACAAATAGAGATAAGGACAAATTAAACAGGGAACATATGTACAAGTAACTCTACATTACATACAGAGACAAACAAAAACCAAGTAAATGTATTTAATGCATTTAAACACTGCTATATAATAATGCTGCATGCTATGACAGGCCTTTATCAGGCCGCACAGCGCTTTGTGATCACAATCGCTCTGCTCCCTTTCCATCCTTTACAAAAACTATATTTGGCTTTAAAGATTAGTTTTCCTGAGCGTTCTGTTAGAGAATGTCGAGATGAACATAGAGCGAGGGCCAGGAAAAACATTGAATGATGAACCCAAAATCCTGACATACCAGAGCTGCGCTGCATGTCACGCTGTAAACCACAGTTCATACATAACACTGAAATTACAACCATACAAGAATTAGACATGCAATGAGAGAAGTGTGAGATATAGACGGTGCCAGGATTTATCCAAATGTCATATTTCACTGTAACTTGGTTTGGTTTTACCAAGCATCTCAGTGATAATTACTGTGTGACAAATAATATCACACCTAGGACAAGAAGATCACATTTCCTACATTTTGTTAAATCATTATAATTTTCTCCCTTTGGTCCACTTGTAATGTTAGTAAAGGGCTTCCTGCCATTTTTCAATCTCTCTGATAATTCAGATCAAACATGTTTCTTCCTGTGCCTTTAAGACTCTCGATAATTGACCTTATCATTTCTCATTCTGGTGTCAGAAAAATTAAAATTAGTTTAAAAATAGTGTTGGGGAAAGTTACTTCTAAAAGTAATACATTGAAATTTTGTGTTACCTCATCTAATTGCGTTACTTAGTTAATCTTTATGGAAAGTAATGCATTACATTGCTTTAGCGTTACTTTTTATCACATGGGCTTGGCTTGCTTATTTGTTTTGTTTTTTAATAACAAAAAAGCCAAAAGTTATTTTTTACAACTATAAAGGTCCATTCACAGCAAAAGTAAAATTAATAAGCCTCAGGCTGAAGGAAGTACCTCTGCACCTCACTACAAATTTCTCTCAACATGGGGACAGGAGAGGTGTCAGTGAAGAAATGGGTAACTGGCGTTACACTTATTTGAAAAGTAACTGATATTTCATTGTAAATTTAAAAGTAACGTGTTACTTTACTAGTAAAAAGTAATCTGATTACATGTAACGTGTTACCCCCAACACTGTTCAAACTTGTATTACCTACTTTAGAACAAGCCATTGGTTTCACAGGATGGTATTTTTTAAGCTACAGTAGGTTTTCACAATGCACAATGAACCCATTTACCTCAAACCAATCAAGGAAAAATTACATAATTTTATTCAATATAAACCTTCGTAATCAAAGTGCATAATAAAATAGGGTTACACTTTATTTTGATAGTCCACTTTAGACATTCCCATCAAAATAAAATGTTAGAAGATATTAAGCAGACAGTCTACTAATACTCTAATGACTGCTAGTTGACATGTAGTTGCAAAGTTACTTACTGTTAGTAGAATGTCTAAAGTGGACTATCGAAATAAAGTGTTACCTAAAATAGTTCACACTTACTTTTGGTGTTCATGGAAACAGCAATGGCAGTCTCCAGTCCTTTATGATGAACGAGACATTTGACAGAGACATCCTTCAGGAGTCCAGCCTGGATGGTCAAGGTGCTGATGACCAGAGTCGTCCCGTCACTCTGCTGGATAGAGGTGGTCACAGGTGAACCAATGGTCCGGTTATTCCCCTCCACGTTCCACACTATTTCAGCCTGTGGCCGGGCCACGGCAGTACAGTTAGCCTCGATCACTCCCGGAGACGTGGTCTTGTAGCTTACTTGAGGTTTGGGCAGGACTGTAAATGATACAGTATATAGGTTGTTTGGCTGTGGAACATTTTATTTAGTCAGAAAACACAGCTACACGCGAATGTCCATCAGTGGAGGCAGATGATTTGGCCAGAGTGTCAGGGTCATATAACTAACATAGACAATAATTAGAAATGGCCCCCAGTATTTGCTAATCTTAATGCTGCTTTGTTTTTTGTAGAATGACAAACAGTTTTAAAACTTACATTTTTAGGCTTGCCTGCCTCAGCAGCCTAAAAGTGATCATCAACGTCAAAATGATTGAGACCAATCAAATCAAAAAAGTGGGATATACTGTTCATAGAAGTCAAGCATGAATGCTGCACTTCAGTTGAAAGGATTGAATAAGTGTGAGATAAGATTTAAGAGGCTAAACATTTAATATTCGACAACTGTTTTTAATATAAGACCAACAGTAATATTCAGTCATACTCAACTTTATTGTCAAATTTGGCTGTTTTGAATTGCATGATTCATGTAATTCATAACTGAATGTGATCAGACAAGAAACATTTTGCCGTTTCATGTTTTTGACATATTAGGCATACAAATAAGAGTGAATATGTGCATATTTTAAAATAAAAATGTTATTTGCAAAGTGATTACATCTTATGGTCCTCTTCTTTTTTCATTACTTTATTCCATTAAATCCATTTAAATCCTTTAATTATTATTTAATTCCTTTAGATACAAATTGTAACTCCCCTCCCTGTCCCCCTCAGCCCCTGATGTTAAAAACATGGCCCTGACAGCATTTACCAGCAAGGGCCATTGATTGGAGCCATGCTAACCAGCCAAACTTTGACCTCTTGATCCCAACACATAATCATGCATTGACTCTACTGAATGATATCCACTTGTGTTGGCTTGAAAAGCAAGAGTTGGCTTTGTAAATCAACAGATCTGCATGCCATCTCTGAGTGTTTGCAGCCCACATATTTTCGTCAGTAGTTCAAAGCTACAGAGATGCCCATTCAAACCACAGCATTGGCCTAAAAAGAGGTATACACTTGGCATTCCAACAGAGGACAAGCATTTCACATTCTTACAAAACCATGACCCCTACAGAACAATTCAAGATTGCTATGAATAACAGATGAGCGAATATGATTAAACAAAATGCAGACCTAAAAAATTTTGTTTTTGGACCCCACTGACTTCCTTGTATGAACAAATCAATCAAAATATAGTGATACAGGTTTGGAACGACATGAGGCTGGGCAAATAATGACAGGATTTTCATTTTGAGGTAAACTATCACTTTAGGTATCCGTTGGTGGCTGCATCCTAGTTTGGGCAAATGCAACAGTACAGAACAACGTGGCACGAAGTGAACATCAATCTGAGAGAGACAAGGCAGGAGAACGAGAGCAGCACATAGAGAGAAGCACTGTGTTAGTGGAACAGTGACACAGTCATTCACTTTGGCCACAGTCTGAATAAATCATAGATCTCACAGTCTCACCCTCCTACAATCAGTTTCTTTCATATCACTCTCTCTCTCTGTCTGTTGTCCTCATTTTCTCCAGGCCTGTGTGTGTGTTTAGCCTTGTCCTGCCCTCTCTACCACTCTGTGCTACAGCCCTACCAGCTGCATACACTGAACTGGATTTATGTTTCACGCTAGAGTCTAAAAATCAGCAATCACTATATAAAAATATCAGTAAGGACCGTATCGACCATTAGAGTGGGGACTGTTTTCTGGGATGGGTTTTAATGGTCCTTTTTTTTTTTTACTATTTAAAAAGTACAAATTAACAAGAACAAATTCAAAATAATTTAAATGGATTTAAAGTAATAAACATAAATAAGAACCCTGAAAAAAACAAGATATTATTTTGTAATCATATTGTAATATTTTCTATTTTTATTTAAAAATATGCACACTTTCTCTCTTACTCGTAACACAAAATGGCTAAATGTTTCTTGTCATAAATGATTCAGGGTAACACTTTATTTTGAAAGTCTACTTTAGACATTCTGACACATCACTTTATTTTATAGTATGTGTACTTATATGTATATACTCTGTAAGAAAGTACTGGATAATACAAGGTAACTACATGGTTTAAGGTTAGGTTTAGGGGTAGGTTCAGGGTTATTAGCTAGTTATTAGCCAGTTATTGTAATCAATTACTATAATAACAAGTACATAGTATGTACACGCGGAACCGACATTCTACTAACTTTAAGTAACTTTGCAACTACATGTCATCTAACTTTCATTAGAGTATCAGTAGACTGTTAGGTTAGGTTTAGGGTTAGGGTTGGTAGAATAAGTTGATATATTTTTGCAAACTTACTTATAGTCGGTTAAATGTCTGTTGGGGGCCATCAACATAAAGTGTTAGCCGATATTAAGCAGACAGTCTACTAATATTCTAATGACTGCTAGTCGACATGTAATCGCAAAGTTACTTATGTCTAAAGTGGACTATTGAAATAAATAGTTTTGATTCAGCATATTTTCATTAAATTTGGCAAAGAAGTTGAGTAGTTTGCATCACTGGATATCAGCCAACTGTTGGTTGTTTAACATTGCTATCATAAAACATTCATACCATTAAAACATAAGTGTCGAATTCTTCGAATTCATCGAATTCTTGTTTTATGTGTAAACAGTAAATGTTACCTTCTTTTTTTCTTTTTTTTTTGGTTGGTTGGTTGGTTTCAATCATTCGACAAGCCACTGCCACTGAGGCAGACCAACCTAAAAATGTAACTTAAAACTTTACATCATCCTAACAACAAACAGAGCAAGCATCAGGTATATCAAATATTGGCCCTGGCCCCTGAATATCATCATCAGCCAACTTGACAAATATCAGCATCATCCAGCTTATCAAGATTTCACTGTAACTGTGGACTAAAGCCTCGAGGGACTTACCAAATATAGTGAGGCAGCTTATGGCACTCTTAGTGCCGTCTGGATACGTGTGGAACTCACAGGTGTAGCAGGCCTCATCTTCAGCTCGGACCGGCCATAACGTGAGCTGCGTGTCAGACAGGGAAAGGCTCAGGCTCGCACGGTCCACAAACTCTTCTTCAATTACTGGGTCACTCTGCTTTGCAAAAGATGCAACTTCACGGGATTCTGCTTTATTCACAATCTTCTTCCATAGCACCTGCTTGACTTTCTCCGGCAGACCGTACCGACAGGCCAGAGAGGCTTGTTTACCACCCACTGCAGTCTTATTGCCCTCTGAGATCACCAATGCTGTAAATCAATGAAAATGAGTCACTACTATACTAACAGTAGCATGATAACACTTATATGTCACTTATGTAACTTATATACATAATTATAACTACATTATATACAGTGTAGTGTATTTTAAATATACATAATTTGTTACTTAATAGCACACTACTATACACTCTTTAAAAATGGGTTTTTGCAGCAAATGCCATAGAAGGACCACTTGGATTTCCCAAAGAACCTTTCCGTGAACAGATTTGAAAAGAACCATTTTTTCCTATAGTGTGAAGAACATTTTTAATAATCTGAAGAAGTTTTTGTCCAATTGAAAGATTCCAAGGATGTTAAATATTCTTCATGGAACAATAGAAACCAATAAAGAATCTTCATTTTTAAGGGCGTATGTCACAAGACAAACTATTTTATTATCTGCATTTAACAAAAGGAGAAACAGGCTTAGGGAGTGGAGTTAAATAGAGGTCTCAGTGAGACCAGGATGAGACAGATGAGTATTTTCACTGTCAATACATAACAATAGATGCCTAAGGAGCATCCAGAATACAATATCCACATGATCAGTATTAAAGAGAGGGAAGGACAGTAGTCTCCACCACAGCATTCCTAGAAATGACTGGCAGGTGCACAGAAACCATGAGATGTTGAGACCAGCTGGATCTTTGCCTGACCAAGCAGCTGTTTCTTATCTACATTCACATTCTCTTCCAGAATCCAGGACGCAAGTACGCAACATCCAAAACCACAACTATGCTGATGTGTTTTATTATTCCCACAGCCTTATTTTATAAGAGCCAAAAAACAGAACCTGATGATACGTGAGTTGTTGTCAGTGTTATCAGTTATTATCAGTGTTTCAAAGCATATCTAAAAAAATTAAGCATTCATTAAAGTAAGACTTGTCTTTCTAATGGAACCTTGGGCATTGCGCATCTCCAAAAGCTCATGAATGATTACTTAATTTTGCTGTTGTGTCATGTGACAAATGAATGAAAGACCAGGAATTTGGGAGGTGAACTACTAATTTATTTTTTTCATAGTTTGACTTGGGTGCATTAGAATGATTCCCCAAGTCAGAATATGATCAGAATATGAAGGCTACAAATGTTAACGTGTTTGAATATGACAATTTGAAACACATTATTTTAATTTATACAACAGTTCGTTCTGGTTCTCAAATCTGATTGGTTGAGAACCGTGAGATATTGTACTGGTATCGCTACAGGAACGCCCTTTCACAATTTTGTATTTGTATAAACGCAATATCGCTCGAGTACGAGAGTGATATTGCTCATTTAACTCGGCTCAAATTAACTAAGTGACATTAATAAAGATAAATGAAATGTTGCTTGAACAAGATTCAAAAATCCAGTATCTGATCTTCCCATCACTACATGGTAGTGCTGTTTTGTTCCTAAATGAATCAGTGTTTTAAATGAATGGGTTCGGAGTGAATGATTCAGTGTCTCATTTCGAAGGCTGCGTCCTCCGGAGGTCATATTTGTTGGCCACATATGTCTCATTTTAGAAAAGCAGCTATAATTTACATTCCAAAGCAAGAAAGAAATTACAGCAATTACACCTCAAAAGGAAATCAGTTAATTTTATAATGATTGCCCTGAGAGCACCGTCATGGTACTCTCTTGAATGGCAGCGGAGACTGACCCAGAAGGGAAGAAATTGTTGAATAAAGTCATTATTTTTGTTTTCTATGCACACAAAAAGTATTCTTGTAGCTTCATAATATTACAGTTGAACCACTGATATCGTGGACTATTTTAACGATGTCTTTACTACGTTTCTGGACCTTGAACGTGGTAGTTCCGTTGCTGTCTATGCAGGGTCAGAAAGCTCTTGGATTTCATCAGAAATATCTTACTTTGTGTTCCGAAGATGAACGACGGTCTTACGGGTTTGGAACGAGATGAGGGTGAGTAATTAATGACAGAACTTTCATTTTGGGGTGAACTATCCCTTTAAACTGAAACATGGATACTGATTCATTCTTGAGTGAATCAGCATTTGTAAGGAATCAGTCGTGTGACTGATTCAATGACTTACTCATGATGACTTGTCACAACCTACCGTAAACTGCAAAAGGACTCAGTAAAAAAAAATCACCACCATTAATGCACAGACGGACAGCATGGAACAAAAACGTGATATAAGCAGACATTATACAAAACACACACACACACACACACACACACACACACACACACACACACACATATATATATATATATATATATATATATATATACACTGGAATGCTTAAAATTAGTTTGTAAAGAATTATAGAATGTGCTTGTATATAAATTTCTTTACCAAACTACATTTTACATTTTAATCTGGATTGGATAGAAAGAAAAGCAGTCAACAAGTGTCCAGTATCACGCTAAATACAATATAAAACTTCTCCATTTGTGTTATTTCATAGTTTTGATGACTTCACTATTTTTCCAAAATAATAGAGAATATTTGTGTTTAGATTTAACATCAAAGCGGATCTGATGAACCGATTCTCCTCTGGCCTTGACAAGCGTACAGCTCAGAGTGAAGGGCTGCTCAACCGGGGCCTCCACGCGTATCGGAGCTGAAACCCTGCCTGAGACACAGCAATACTGAAACCAACCGAAACGCACCACTTACACACAGAACAAGAGATTACTACAATCACACACCTTGTAGTCTGGACACCATTGTCAAAGACACACAGATCTGTAGACATCTTGGCAAGGAGACCACAAACATCTTAGCCTAGTGGAAAGGAAATACAGCATTTCAGTAACTATTGCACCAAATTATAAGATATAGCTGTAAAATTAAAAGTCCACAGTTTATATATATATATATATATATATATATACACTGGAATGCTTAAAATTAGTTTGTAAAGAATTATAGAATGTGCTTGTATATAAATTTCTTTACCAAACTACATTTTACATTTTAATCTGGATTGGATAGAAAGAAAAGCAGTCAACAAGTGTCCAGTATCACGCTAAATACAATATAAAACTTCTCCATTTGTGTTATTTCATAGTTTTGATGACTTCACTATTTTTCCAAAATAATAGAGAATATTTGTGTTTAGATTTAACATCAATAGTGAATAATTACATATTTCAGAGAACATCATTAATTTGTGTTTGAGCAGTTTAATCCATAACTACACCACAACAATGATGATATGAAGTTAATTTAAACTAATATCTTTTTATTTTAAATTTGATTTATTTGTTTTAAGGGGCCAAATATATTCTACAAGGAATATATAAATATAGGTAATAAATCTTTAGTAGAGAGGATTTGCTGAAAACAGTTAAATAACAGTTGATTTATTTAAAATATAAGACAATGTTTCTGTATAACATATTTTTCTGTAATAGCATATGCAAAATATCATTTACATACTGAAATAAAATCTAAAGATAGTAAATATTAGACCTTGATAAATTGATCATTAATAAACTGACCATTTATTAATACTCAAACAGTAGAATTATCTGTTCATCTGACAGTGGCAAATGAGATACAAAACGAGTCTAAAGTTTAAGATGAAAGTAATCTAAGATGTGCTACAGATAAGCGTAAGTAATTAATATTATATTTTGACATACCTCCATGTGGTGTTAATGCCCTCTGCCCTCAGCTGTACATGCACAACACACTCTTCAACACACTGAACCAACTGGACTGTTCTCCATCTCCACCCATCTCTGAAACACTGCATATGCCGAGTCAAGCACGTGATGGCTCCGTCTCACAACTCACTCAGCTGCCTACTTAGAAAGCATTGTCAGATATCATATGCCTCTCAGCTCACATGCACACACGCACACACACACACACACACAGCTCTGACTCAAATGGCAACAATGGCCAAACATGAAACTAAAAATTCTAATTATCTGTATATAATAGTACATTATATTATTAAGATTTTTTAAAAAAGATGGAAAAGAAACCCCCTGTTCTATAGTGTACAATATTATATTTTAGCTTGTGCTGCATTTCACATTTAAGCTTGGCCTAAACTACCATATTCATGTATTAAATTACAAACTTTTCTGCCAAATACATAAATACAAACTTAACAAGTATTTCTGTAAAGACACTTACAGAACAGGAATGTTCTCAGTCTGCCCTCTAGTGTTTAAAATGGGACTCACAAACCTATCCTCACTTACATAACTGAACTATAGTGTCCTGCACCCACAAGTAAAAAAAAATATCACAAATTGTATCTGGTGTCTGATTAAAGAAAAACCATTATGCCTATGGGATGTCCCCACTTTTCACAAAAACAAACCTGTGTGTGTGTGTGTGTGTGTGTGTGTGTGTCAAGAAATAAAAGTTGCATCTGTAAAATACGATGTTGTACAATTACAATAGGATATACTATTCAATTTACCGTACCTTCATAAATTTTATAAAGACATAAAAGTAAACACACTGACCTATATTCTTCTTAAGTGATTACTGTAAGTAAGATGAAAACTAAAAAGCATGTGCCAAATTTCCTGTATAGTGGCAGCCTTGACCACACCACACCACAGATGTCACTAACTTTTGGGGCTCATCTAACACATTCACCTTAAAGGAAAACAAATTGACATTTATTTCACACTTTGTTAGTTTATTTATTATTTAGTTTGTTGGTTTAAGCAACAACTTAACCTGCACACATTTAGTAAAGCACATATTTTTAACACAAAGCTTTAGCCAGACAAAGCTATTGCTATAGCACATGATGGTCATATGGACCAAACTTCTGAATAATAGTAATTTTGGGACATAACCACACCAATTCACATTTACTTGCATTATATGGAAAAGAGCAGCCAGGACTTTACAATAAATATCTTTTGTGTTTCATGGAGGAAAGAAAGTTACATGGCATGAGGGTGAGTAAATGACGACAACATTAAAATTTTTGATCAGTATGATAAATATAAAAGAGGAAAATGATTAATTACAATCAAACTAACCTGAAGTGTAGCAACA